GGATTAGGTCTTATTATAAAAAATGAAAAACTGGAGCAATCCTTAGTTTTCATGCAGGATTGCTCCAGTTTTACATTTTTCTTTGGGGCGGATGTAGCCAAGTGGATGAAGGCAGTGGATTGTGAATCCACTATGCGCGGGTTCAATTCTCGTCGTTCGCCCCTAATCCTATAGATAACTCATGGAGATTTCTTATTTTTAACAAATTGTTGGTAATATTTTTTTATTTTATGTAAATAGATAGACCAGATAGCGTGCATCCTGTAGGAATTGAACCTATGACTTTGCCAATTATGAGTAGGGCGCTTTAACCACTTAGCCATGGATGCTTAATGAGGACCACATAGGATTTGGAAAATGTTTTAATATAGAAAAATTGAAATCGTTGCAATTTAGTAATCAGCATTTTTGAATTGACAAAAATATACAGAATTCAACATGTCTGCAAAATGTGTAGTGTAAAAGAAACATATAAGGAAAAAAATTTCATAGTCATCGAAATCCATACATAACTGGTATCATAATAAAGACTAAACACGTTTGAATTTAAAAAATAAATATTTTAAAATATGAAATCTAATTAAAGTATTAAAGTAAAAGAAACTAAAAAAACTCGGGAGGTTTACACAGGCATGAAAAAACAAAATCGCAAATTTGGTATTTTCGAATTGAGAGATATCAATAAGTGTGTGTGTGTGTGTATGTATATATATATATGTATATGTATATGTATATATATATGTATATGTATATATATGTGTATATATATATATATAGAAATATATATATATATATATATATATATATGTATATGTATATGTATATGTATATATATACTCCCTCCGTCCATAATTAAAGTTCCCACTTTCCTTTTTTGGACGTCCACATTTAAAGTTCCCATTTCCATTTTAGGCATATTTTTAGTTGTAAAATGTCTTTCTTGCCCTTAAAAGTAGTCCGTGCATCAACACCTCTTATCTTAACCATGGCCACCCATTTCTTATTTTGCGAGTCATGTATCATCATCTTCTTCTACCTCTTTTTTTCTTTTCATCTCCACTCAATCTCACCCACCAACTCTTCTTCTTTCTTCTTCTTCTTCTCAACTCGTCTTCTTCCTCCCTTTTTAGATCTATTTGAAATTTTCGTTTTTAGATTTATTTGAAATGGAGGTAGCAGTGGGTGGAGATAACGCGGCGGAGCAGCGAGGTGGCGGTCAGACGTAGCAGCGAAACAGCGAGGCGGCGATCGGAGGTAAAAATTTATTTCGTTCGATGCTGCGAAAATTGGGATTGATTGCAAAAATATATTCTTCATTGATTGCACAGATCTACTGTCAGAGGAAGGGTTGTTTTGGTCAAGCTCGGAATCCTGTGGGCTGTGGCGAAATTTTTCCTCCGCCACTTAGAAGGGAGGGTTCTTCTCTACCTCCACCATAAGCGCGCTTTGACCATGAAGAAGTTCCACTTCTTATACATGAGATGGAATCCTTTTCCGGCAGATTGGCGGGTGGCTGCTGCGGTTGTTGACCATCGCTGGGGCTGAGGTGGAGTAAGGAAGGAGGGGTATTTTTGGAAAGTCAATGAATTTTTTACTTTTTCTTAAAGTGCGTGCCTGGTCAAACTGGGAACATTAATTATGGACGGGGGGAGTATACACACACACACACACACACACACACACATAGTATTACTAATTATATTTGACATACTTAATTATCATATAAGTAAAATGTCCAAATATAAACATATACATTTATGTATATATTTACATATGTATGTGTTATTAACATATTGTCATACAATAATATACACAACACACAAGTATCACTTTACTCCATTTCAATATTCTATGTTTTCCTACGTTCTATGTGTGTGACCCTGTTCTAGGCACCTTTAACGTTGGTCATAGCACTGGTTAAATACTACAAGTGATAAACGGTATCAGCAACACATTATCACCCCTAAGTAAAAAATATAAATCTCTTGGATTACTTCTTTCAATGAGAAATCTCATTTGTTTAACTCTTATCCCTTTATCACTAATATCTTTATTTAACATAAGGTATGGGGTGTGTCACCTTGTTATAGTTAAATGGATAGTTTACTGATTATTTGATTGACTTGATGGATTCAAATAACACATTTATTTGGGCATGACCATGCACTTTCCAAGTCGCATCAAATAGTGGGCTCTAAGATATTATACATCACTAAGGGATAAATTCTATCTATGTCATTCACATCTCCACGTAAGTTTCATTGCATATCCAAAATATAATTGTACATCCACCAATGTTTCAGATGACATTAACTACGTACGCATCAAAGTATGCAACTTAACTTATCAAAGATTGTAATGACTTCAACTCGAAGGATAGTTATACTAATGGTCGCATGAGAATAATATTAACACATTAACATAATACCCATATACTATTCTCATAGCGCTCAATCCAGCAACATATCCAATATGTTTGCCTACATATAGATTTAGATAACACTTTATTTATATCCTATGAGACGAAGTTATCTCATATAATACGTATTAGTCTTAATATATTATGACGTCCGTATTATCATAATATTCGACTAAGGATATTTTAGATGTAGCCTTTATCTTTTCAACAGCTGTTGGAACATGCGTTTACGCCTACATCGCACTAAACCATGTTCGTTTTATGACAGGTTTTGATAATGCCAACCGCTGCGAAAACTAGAGCAAAGTGAGCAAATCAAAGGCGAGGAAACATGATGTGAAGATAAATTTAAAATGAGAACCAAGAACCAAGAATCAAGACTTAAAAATTAATTGAGTCGGTCTTAATAATGTGATCAAGACCGGCACAAACTTCTAAACTTGGCTCTCTAGGCTTATTTCATCAAAATATCTTTTTGCATGATCAAAAATGTTTTCATAAGTTTTAAACAAGCCTAAAACACTTGGTGTTTGCCCAAACCAAAAACCAAGCCATCCGGCGTTCGGCTCTCAGAAACCGGCGTTCGGCATTCAGTTATTAGCGTTGGTTTTTGGCGTTCAAACCAACCAATTTTTTTTCAACCTTTTATGATTGGGTTTTACTTCTGGGCATATTTAAATAGTTCTCCAACAAAAACGCTTCAAAAACCACCTCTCATTTTTGGTCGTTTAGTAAAAACCATGCGAAGCGGCGTAAACTTGGCTAGCCGTGACTTTTATCTAAATGACGTGTTTTTCAAGATGTTTCACTTGATTTCTTAGCAAAATGCTTTAAACAAATATTTTCAACACTTGGTTTTTATTTTGGAAAACTTGGATTTTTTACATCGGCTAATGGCATGACTAAACCAACCATAGTTTTGGCGAACGAGCCCAACATGCATGTCGGAATTCTCAACAGCGATGTTGGCATTCAGAAGTCTTGGGTAGTAGGTTTTTGAATAGCGATGTTCATTGTTGAACAACGATGTTTTCAAATGACCGTTGGGCTATTTATGACAAAATCTTTCCATTTTTGAAAGTCAATCACCCCAACATCGATGTAGACTTTTAGACATCGATGTTTTGATGACCGTTAGCCATTTTTAAATGAAAGTCAAAGCCTAAACAGCGATGTTCACTATATGAACATCGATGTTAGGCCAAAATCATGTAGACCAACTTTGATTTGATTTCCACAAATCATGCCATTAAACCCCAATCAACTCCAATTCATTACACATCATTTTTGGGTATTAATAGGGGTCTTTTGGGTTTACTTTTCACAACCATTCCTCACACATTTCATAGCTTTACATTGCATCATTCCATAAACTTTTTACATAGCTTTTTAGGGCCATTTCTTGAGGAATTGAATGTGTTCTTGATCTAAATTAGTTTACTCATATTCTACTCTTCAAGAAACTTTTTTTCTTGAGTGGTTAAGTGTTGTGAACACTCTAAGGGAGGTTTGTTCCCTTGGTTGTACAAAGGAAGGACATATTCCTTCGAGTTGAAGTCTTGGAGTGCGGTATCTCCGAGCAAGTGTATTGAGGCTCGTGGGACTCGAGTTCTCAGATTGTAACGGTTTGTTAAGTACCTGTAAGCTTAACGGAAGTAGTGTAGCTCGAGAGAGTCTCTCGGGAGACTGGACTAGCCACACGTTGTGGTGAATCAGTACAAATCTTGGTGTGCTCTCTTTACGCTTTTTTACGCTCTTTACTTTTTACCTGCTTAATTTTTAATCCTGTGACTTTTTCGTTTAAATGCTATTCACCCCTCTCTAGCGTTGGGACGTTTTTCTAACAACAGCCTCATAATTAAAACGTCAAAGTTCTCATCTATGTTGCTAGAGCACCTACTCTATGGACTAAAGCTATGTTTAAATCACACGAGACAATCTCAACAATCTTTAGGGCCTCTTATTCTTGATATATTTAAGACATGAAATCATAAGTTGGCCTCTAAGGATCACTTGTATTCAATAATCTCACACTACCACTATAGCCAATTATGCATTACATAAATGCCCATGCACGAAGCGTGACCCTCATGTCTAGGTTTTCCCAAAGCCTAGATCAATGGTTTTATGGATTGTTATCTATTCTATTTTGCAAATCTTCATATTGTATAATCAAAGTAATTATTATTTGAGGTCATGTTTAGTCTTGGTGAGACCGTGATTCGCTAGCGTGTGATAATCCATTGTTGTTATTACAATGGATGGTATCGTCATACTAAGAACCGTATTGAGCTTGTAGCTCTTGACACAAACATCTTGCTCAGTTGCTTCGAAAGTTGCTTTGTACTGTACTTTTACAGGTAAAGTTTGGTAGTGTCTTGAAGCTCTTCTAGCTCATTTCACTACTATACAAACGTATAACCTTTCTGCAAATATGTACTATGTGTATGTGGAAATCACACAGGATGATTTCTCCGTTGTCATATAGCACAACCGTTGGGTGATATCTTGTAACACCCTTAAGGACGCTCCTTTTGCTATGCAGTGACGATCAAAAACTTAGCATTCTATCTACTCATAACATTTATAGTAGATTATATTCGTTCTAATCATGATATTCTTGATGGATCCAAAGTAGTTGTGTAATGAATGATTCTTATGCACTTCCTGTTAGATTTAGGTCCCAACGCTAGAGTGGGGGGGATAGCGTTTAAACGAAATGTCGCAAGAATAAAAAATTTAAGAGCGTTAAAATTAAAGAGCGTGAAAAGCGTGAAGGGAGCACACCAAGATTTACACTGGTTCACCGCAACGTGTGGCTACGTCCAGTCTCCCAAGAGACTCTCTCGAGCTACACCACTTTCGTTAAGCTGACGGGTGCTTAACAAACCATTACAACCTGAGAACTCGAGTCCCACGAGCCTCAAAACACTTTCTTGGAGATACCGCACTCCAAGACTTCAATTCGAAGGAAGATACCCTTGGCTTCAACTCCAAGACTTCAACTCGCTGTTCAAAAAGCTTCTGGAATTTCAGGCTTGGCTCAACAGTGATGTATAATAACCAACATTGTTGTTAGAGGACTTTGTGCCAAACCATGGCTTTCAGGTGCCAACACCAAACAACGTTGTTGGCAAGTCCAACATTGCTGTTGGGCTGGTTTGCCAGAATCATGGCTAGCCAGTCAACGCCGAAAGCTGATGTCGAAAATCAAAGTTCTCCAAATTTAAAACCAAGTGTTGAAAACACTTATTTAGTTTATTTTACTAAGAAACCAAGTGAAACATCTTAAAAACTACGTCATTAAGGTAAAAACCACGGCTAGCTAAGTTTATGCCGTTTCACATGGTTTTTACTAAAAGATCAAAAAAGAAAGGTAGTTTTTGAAGTGTTTGGTGGGAGAACTATTTAAATGTTCCCAGAAGTAAAAACCTATCATAAAAATTAAACACCACTTGGTTGGTTCGGATGTCAAAAACCAACGCCGATAACCGAATGTCGAACACCGGTTTCTGAAAGTCGAATGCCTCAATAATAACCGAATGGTTGGTCACGGGACTGTTGAATATAAGTGAGCCCTAGAGGCCAACTTATGATTCCATATCTGTGTTATCAAGAATAATAGGTCGTAAAGATGGTTCAAGTCATCTCGTGTGATTTAAACATAGCTTTAGTCCATAGAGTAGGCGCTCTAGTAACATAGATGATTACTACGACTTTCTAATTATGAGGCTGTTACAAAGATAGAGGCTACGTCTAAAATATCGTTAGTCGAATATTATGATAATACGAACATGATAATATACCAAGACTAATACGTATGAGATGAGATAGCTGTGTCTCAGAGGCTATAGATAAAGTGTTATCTAAATCTATACGTAGGCAAACATATTGGATATGTTGCTAGAATGACCCTCTATGAGAATAATATATGGGTTTAAGTTAAAGTGTTAATACTATTCTCATGCGACCATTAGTATAAACATCCTTCGACTTGAAGCCATTACGATCTTTGGTAAGTTGAGTTGCATACTTTGAAGCATGATTTATGCCAGCTAAAATATTGGTGGATGTACAATTATGTTTTGGGTATGCAATGAAACTTAAGCAAAGATGTGAATGACGTAGATAGAATTTATTCCTTCTTTAATGAAGTATAATATCTAAGGGCCCACTGATTCATGTGACTTGGGAAGTGCGTGACCATGCCCAAATAAATATGTTATTTGAATCCCACAAGTCAATCAAGAATCAGTAAATTAAACCATCAATTTAACTCTAACAAGGTGACACACCCCATACCTTATGTTAAATCAAGATATTAGTGACAAAGGGATAAGGGTTATACAAATAAGATGTGTCGTTGAAGGAATTGTTCCAAGAATGTGTTGCTAGATACCGCTTATCACTTGTAGTGTTTAATCGATACTATGGCCAATTTTATAGGTACCTAGAATAGGGTTACACACATAGAACATATGACTATATGAGAGTGTAGAATATTTAAGTGGATTAAGTTGCATTATATATATATATATATATATATATATATATATATATATATATATATATATATGTGGGATTGACTCCAGTGAGATGACACCTTACGGTGAGATGACATGCTTCGGTCAGATGACACAAAGCTCACCACTGGTCACTGCAAAGCTCACCAAAGACAACTACAAAGCTCACCAAAGTGTAAGGCAAAGCTCACCATATTTTTTCAACACTTTGAATTTTTTTCCAAAAAAAAAATCAAAGGAAAGGGTGCTGACTGGACTTTGACTATTGACTGCCAGCATTGACCGCCGCCTGCCACCGGCCGCCGCCGCCTACCGCCGCCGGTTGCCGTCGCCGCCGCCGATCGCCGATGCCGGACTCCGGCCGCCGCCACCGGGCTCTGGCCGCCACTGCTACTCCGCCGCCCTAGACCGGTGGTTGGCAGGTGTTGTTATTTTATTTTTAATTAATTTTTTAATTTTTAAAATTTAAAAAAAAGGTGGGTTTTGGAGTTCAAAGTGGTGAGCTTTGCTTTATTTCCAGGTGAGCTTTTCATTGTCCATTGGTGAGCTTTGTAGTGTAGTGTGGTGAGCTTTGCTTTATTAGCTTTTTAAAAAAAAAAATGGTGAGCTTTGCATTGTTTCTTGGTGAGCTTTCCATTGACAGTTGGTGAGCTTTCCATTGATAGTTGGTGAGCTTTACGCTTTGACCGCCCATGACCTATGGCCACCACCGATGACCCCCACTATTGCCGTGGACCAGTGGTTGAGCGGTGGTTGAGTGGTGGTTTTATTTTTTTAACATAACATTTTTTATTTAAAAAAAGTGGTGAGCTTTGCATTGACAGTTGGTGAGCTTTGCATTGGTAGTTGGTGAGCTTTGCATTGGCAGTTGGTGAGTTTTCCATTGGCAGTGTTGTGTGTTGTGTTATCTCATTGAAGCATGTCATCTTACCATAAGGTGTCATCTCACTGGAGTCAATCCATAATATATATATATATATATATATATATATATATATCAAATATGTTATGAAGTCAGAACCGAACGTCTTTTCAGTTCGTATTCTTTTACTTCGTCTCAATTCAGTTTCATGTTCGACTTCATCATCGTCACCGGAATTCAACTGATTTGGATCATCGTTATCCATCATCTCAGTATGAGAACGTTTGGACGAACTAGCTTCGTCACTTGACTTGCACGGAAAAATGTGCTCAAAAAACGTTGCATTCCGTGACTCAATGATTGTGTTCTTGTGAATTTCAGGATTATTTGATTTGTACACCAAGAATCGGTATGACGTACTATTGTACCCGATGAAGATTCCATCAACTGTTTTTGGACCGATCTTCATCTTCTTCGGTGGTGGTGCAAGTACTTTCGCGAGACACCCCCACACTTTGAGATACTTATAGGAAGGTTTCCTATTATGTCAAAGTTCATACGGAGTTTTGTCGAGTTTCTTACGAGGAATTTTATTTAGTAAATAATTACTTGATAAAACAACCTCCCCCCACATGTTCTGGGGTAATCTAGAACTAAGTAGCTTCGCATTCATCGTGTCTTTCACAGTGCGATTTTTCCGCTCTGCTACACCGTTTCACTGCGGTGTATACTGTTGGGTTACTTGATGCACAAAACTCATTAAGTGGAGCATCATACTCACCACCTCTATCGCTTCTCAATGCTTTGATTTTGCGATTGAGTTGATTTTCCCCTTCATTCTTATATCAAATAAAAGTGTCTAACGCTTCATCTTTACTTTTCAGTAAATAGATATAGCAATATTTCGTGCTATCATCGACGAAGGTAATAAAGTACTTATTACCCCCTCTTGAAGGTGTTGTTCTAAAATCACACAAGTCGGTGTGAACCAACTCTAGAGGTTGAGTATTTTGTTCGATCGTTTGAAACGAACTTCTAGTTGACTTTGCCTCAACACAAGTTTCACACTTGTGAGTTAAGTCAATACTAAACTTAGGAATGTGTTCCATGTTAATTAATTTTCGAATAGATGCATAATTAACATGTCCTAGTCTACCATTCCATAAACTAGAAGACTCACACACATAAGCAACAGGATTTTTATTGATCTTTTCATGAACAGTCATTACATTAAGCTTGACAAGCCCATCAGAAATATAATCTTTCCCAATAAAAATCCCTTTCTTGGACAAAATTAGCTTGTCTGATTCAAACACCATCCGAAAGCCATGTTTGATCAGCAATGACCCTGACACTAAATTCTTGCGAATATCTGGCACATAGAGCACGTCGTTAAGCGTTAACTCTTTGCCTGAGGTCATTTTGAGCTTAATTTTTCCAATCGCTTGAACCTCTGATTGGGCCGAGTTGCCCATCCAAACCTTGTCACCGGAGATCTCTTGGAAGTCGTAAAACATGCTCCTGTTTGAGCAAATATGGTGTGTGGCTCCTGTGTCTACAAACCACTCCCTCGGGTTTGACCCGACAAGATTCACCTCGGTGACAACCGCGAAGAGGTCCAAGTTGTCAAGCTCTGCACACATGGCTTCAGTGGTTTTCTTCTTTCCTTTTTGTGGCTTCTTTTTCCTACAATCAGAGGAACGATGCCCGGTAATGCCACAATTGTAGCACTTCCCTACAAATTTTGAAACACCACCCTTAGGACCTATTTTCTTATTGTCCTTCCCGCCATGTGAAGAGCCCGACGGATGTTCTACCACATTCGCCTTTGCCCCTCCACCTCTACTGGAAAGCCCTTCCTCTCGAATCCTCAACCGCGTGAGCAGTTGCTCCAGGTTTAGCTCCGTTCTTTTGAGCTTGAGGTCGGCTTGGAAGTCTTCCCACGACCAGGGAAGTTTGTGGATGATGGCCGCCACTTGAAAAGCCTCGCTGACGCTTACTTTCTCTTCATTGCATTTGTTGAAGATTACCGTAAGCTCCTCAGCTTGGGCGAAAACAGATTTGTTGTCAACCATCTTGTAGTCCAACATCTTCCCGACGATGAACTTCTTCGTGCCGGCATCTTCAGCTTGATACTTCTTGTTCAAGCTACTCCAAAGCTCTTTTGCAAGCTTTGCACTGGCATAGACGGGGTATAGCGTCTTTGCCAACCCCTCGAGGATAATGTTGATGGCGAGATAGTTGTTGTGGTACCATGCTTGGTTCACCATCGCCACGAGGGGGTCGTTGCCGTTGTTTGGTTGGGGAGGATCTTGCTGTAGGTACTCAGCAAAACCCAGGACGGTAAAAAAGAACATCATCTTTTGTTGCCACATTTTGAAGTTCGTGCCATTGAACTTCGGTGGCCTTTGGACCAAACTAGCGGGCACTGAAATGGCCCCAACTGCATTGGGCGTATGGAGGAAAGGTCCGTTGGTCGCCCAATGAGGTCCAACGAATGGATTGACCGGTGCGGTGAAACCCGCGTTCAATCCAAAGTTGACCGTCGAGGCCGAAGCCATGGTCGGTCCGAGAAACGGGTTCGAATTACCAACGGGATAATCCCCCGTGGTTTCGAGCCCGAGAATGGGTCGAGGAGCTGACCCGAAGATCGAGCCCGGAATCGAAAAAGACGTCATGGTTGCGGCCCCCACACTTGACCCGAAGGGCAACGGTGAGGTCGGCACAACCATGTCAACCATGGCAACTGGCCAACGGACGGGCGGCGGCGGTGGCGCGCGAGGAGCCCTCTTCTTGTTCGTTTCATAAGCTCAATTAAGAGCCTAAGCTTAAATATGAGAATATGAAAGGTTCAAAAGCCGGTGTGGGACGAGGGTATTTACTCTACCCTCGTATTCAACTTTAAGAATTAATTTCTCATTCACCCGAGCACCGTTTATGGCGTGTCATATGTCAAGACATTCGTCTTACTTACGAGATTGAACGTCCATAATTATTTCGGAAAATAATTTCCTGGACCCTACCGAATTTATGTCCAAAAAATGTCCAATTTACTTAAAATTTCCAACAATACACACACACACATATATATGTCCTCCCCTGCTTCGATTCGTGTCATCATCCATCAGCTTCTTCGAAGTAGAACCAATTTCGTGTCGTCTGCCTTTTTATGTGCTTCCTAACACCTTCTTGTACAGGGTGTACCCTGCTCAACTCAGCGTTGAGTGTATATATGATGCCGTACATATCCTGGATTTTCGTTTTTATTCATTGTATCTAAATTGGCCGTATCCATTCATGTGCTACGGAACGTAACTATTCGTGCTTGTCATGAGGGAAAAAAAATGTTAATTTATTCGTCAACCTTGATTGACTTTCTTAACTTTTACAATTAATTGGCATGTGTGGGACATTTATTCAGTGGTCCTCCAAAGTCCAAATGCCAAATTGCTGTTACTTAAAGTTATTAAAAGCGCATAAGCCTGGTGCATCTGCTCCCACATTCATCGAATAGGCTTCAACGTAATCATTCACATCTTCAACAAATTATAAAGTATGCCTGCCAACCTACTCCATAGTGAGTACAATTAAACGAAAATTGTAATTTCTATTAGTATAAAAATAATTTTATTAAATTTATCTTGTTGAGAACTATTCCGTATCAATATTTTATTTCATTATACTACTCCGTACCATGCAATATAAATTGGGAGTAACTAAGCTCAAAATTTATACAGTTTGACTTGAAAAAGTCAAATTTGACGAATGCACTACACGGAGGTAGTACTGTTTTTTGGTATTATATGTTGACATCATTGACATTAGAATTCATATTTTGGATATAAACACATAGAGCTCCAATTTTTATAATTTTTCAATGACACAATGTGGTGAGGTATTAACCGAGGCGCGTCTATTCTTGCTGATGAAAATGATTTTGTACATTTTTAATGTTTTACTTTATATTAGGTTTTTGTTCCATTTGGGTAATGTTGTTTCACTATAGTTATTTTCGATGCAAATTATTTGAGAATTGAGGTAGAATTAGAAAATAAAATTTAAATATTCAAAAAACTATATCAATAGTTATACGAAACATGAAGTGACATGACAATATTATTTTTTTAAATGAGTAGCGAAAATTAGAATAGAAAGCAAATGTTGTTTGACCTAATGAATAGTAAACAAAAACGGAGTAGTTTGGAAGGGTAGGAGTATGATATAGACGATCAAGATTAAGACTTTGTTCTTTTGGTTTTAAAAGGAGAAAATTACTAAACTAGGAGTAATAATGAAGAAAGTACCCATACAAGAGCTCCATCTTGAGGGTAATTGCTATAGCGAAAGGAGAGTTAGATGTTGAAGAAATGGAAAAGAGATGAAAGAAGCAGCCGGAAGGAATAGGAAAAAAAACATAAGAAGTTGGAAAAATTAAAAGAAGTTAGAAGAAATTGGAAAGTTTTTAAAAATGTCAGAATAAAGTGTTAAAACAAATGTTATATTTTTGAAATTTCATATTTTTATTAAAATAATTTATATTCCATTCATTACAACTTTTTTTCTCTCTTTTCTATATGTCACACTATTTTCATCCAAACCATATCTATTACTCCGTATTATTTTTGTGGTTCAAACTCTCTATGAGTTTTTTACATGTTTAATTTTCACATCAATATCAATAGTACAATTTTTGTTTTTTAATTTTTATGTCAACCAATGCTATAAAAATAGTGAGGCTAAGGAAACCATATTTTTTATTAATCCTCATTGAAAGGAAATATTAGCATAAATAATTCATCGACAAAGTTCCCATGACATTGCCCGACAATGTCATGGGATGACTCGGGGGCGCTCTGGTGCCCCGTTCGTAAAATTAACGGTTCCTACCCCCCGGTAAATCCCCCCACCCCGCTTCAACCCGAACACACCCCCACCCCCTTCAATTGCACCCCACAAGTTGATTTTGACTTTGGAGTCAAAGTTTGAAAATTGATGTAGAATTGGAAAATAAAATTTAAATATTCAAAAAACTATATCAATAAGCCATCGTAAGGTACATGGGTGAATTGTAGTCGCTTTCTATTGCAATCATTGTCTACATATGTGGTATTTCGTCAGTGTTTTAGTCATAGTCATTATTATTATTGTTCTTCTAACCGACATCAGTATATGTTAGTGGATATAAGGTTGATTTCAAATTAAAGAAAACCCCCTAAATAGGAGTAAAACATGTATCATACTCCAAAGTAGTACTCCAAACTTAAACTCCCCTAAATAGGAGTGAAATTATTGAAATATAAAATTTGAGATCCATTCACAGTCAAAATAGTCGGAAATTCCATGCCAGCGTCTTTCTATGGAGCCGATCAGCAAATTGTTCTTCTAAAGTCTAGTTTGAATGGATAGTGCATGGGAAATTCCATGCCAGCGTCTTTCTAAAGCCGATCAGCAATTTTATCATCTAGGTAGAGTCCTATCACTCATATTTTTTCTTGATTAGTCCAATCGCATTCGACTTTGCTCAAATCCAACTGATCTCTTCTTCTCCAATCAATTTTAATCGCCATTGCCAACCAATCACAACTTCATCACCGCCACCGCCACCGCCGCCAAATCATAGCGTCGTCGATGCTGCTGCCATGCACCTCGTCCCTCTCAGATTCATTGTCGCACTCGTGTCACGCCGCCCACCTCCATATCTCTTCCTCAAAGCATGATTTCAAAACTGAACATTTTCTCTCTCGATCTTTAATTGAATTCTATTTTTTTCAAAATTCTCGCTAGCGGTCGTGGAGGGCATTAGATTTGGTTTGGTATTATGTCATTGTGTAACATTGTGACATTATATATAAGCATATGTGGCATTATATATGGGCATCTATGATATTATATATTGTCATATGTGACATTATATGGTGTCATGTTTGACGTTATGTCGTTCTTTTACACTGTATTGACTGTTAATGTGGCATTGTGGCGACGATGGTGCAGATTGTAATGGTAGCGTCATTGATAATTGTATAGAGCGGTGATGTCGTCGGTGGTGATGATGAAAAATTAAAGACGTCAATGGTAGGTTTCGATTGCAGCGGTGCGTTGGGGCAGAGTATAGGATGGCGGCGGTGGAGATTCAAATGATAGTGGTAGGGATGCGGCGCGGCGATGGCGGCAGTGAGCATCACCATCGACGACGATTGCAGTAGTGGGCGTCGCTGTTGGCAGCATGCTAATGTGAAGTTGGCTGATTTTTTTAAGTTTTGGACTTGGCCGCCACTAGCGGATCTATTGCTAAGCTAAGGGGGTAAAACTTAAAAGTGGTGATCTATTTGCATTTGTGGATCTATTGGTTGCATTGCGTGTGGGGAGCATTTTTTTGTTTTATTAATTAAGTTAATTACTCCTATTTAGATGAGTTTAAGTTTGAACTCCTATTTTGAGGATATGACATACCTTTTACTCCTAGTTTGGTCCTTCTTCCTTCAAATTACACTTTAAGCCATCAAATTTGACACTAAGATGACAGAAGTTAAAAAAAGACTATTTGTGAAAAAGCTACCTATAAAAGACGGGTGAGTGGGGTAATATTTGATAATAGATGGCTAAATATGGAAAATTCTATGTTATAATGCTCAATTATAAAATTTACTCTTAAAAATATTACGTAAAAAGTATTTTATAATTCCAATAATTTGATATAATTTTAATATTTTAATATATTGTATACTTTAATACTAAGTATATAATTAGTCAAACTCTTTACACGCAAAGTTATACGTTAAAAAAGAATGGAGGGAGTAAATGTCTAATTCGGGATCATGATTTCTAGGACTTAAGTCTAGGTTTTCAAATTTTTAGTAGCTCTTATTACATCATAGTAAATGTTCAATCTTATAATCACAATTTTCCAAGGAAATGAGTTATTGTTGGAATTTTGTTTCAACATGAATGAAGTTTGAACACTCAATGCGAAACAAATTGGGACGAGTTTTTTGCAACTACGTCAACATGCTTCCATAAATCTAGGTATACTTATTGTAAGGATAACATATACTTCTCTTATTGGATTAAATTTTATTTCCCCAAGATAATTGATTGTCCACAAGGTTTATAGAATCAGATTTGCTAATTTTCATTGTAGAGTAGAAATTTAAACGGACAATCCATTATTTCCCTGAGACATTTGATTGTTTAGACCAATAATTTGTAACTAGTTTTTGATTGATGGATTCTTCCCTTGTCATACCTCCAACGGCTCCAAACCATTTTAGGGTGCCTTTGGAAATATGGCAAATAATATTTAGAAAATGATTTCAGAAAACTAAGTTATTTTCTAAAAATCATTTTCATTTTCTGATCTTTGAGAGAAAGTACGAAAATTGTCCGGTTCTGTTTAATTTATACTGTATTTGGAAAAAATAAGAAGAGAAAATCATACATTCCATAATTGCACTTCTTACTCAAAAAATGGAACTATCAAGGATCCAAAAGTTAAACATTTTATACTCAAAAGGTACACTTTGAATTGCAATTGCATATGCTAATTAAAAAAACACTACATACTCATTAAAAAATTCCCAAAATTTTTTATTCCCATTTTGACTTTTCTTTGTCAAACTTAGACACTCTAATTACAAATTAATATAATGGTATGAAATTTGGTCAAAGAATGTTACTAGACCAAAAAGACTAATAAAAAAAAGGTTTTTCAGAGATGAGTACTTATCTTTTGTAGATAAGTATGCATCAGTTGGCTTAATAATTTGTTTTTTTTGGGTAAAGTTCAAAATTTTGCAAATAAAACACATTCAAATCTACCGAAGTCTACGTAAAATTAAAACAAGCCATAGATTTCACATAATTCATACATTCTAAACAATAAATCAAATCTTTTAAAATTTGAATTGACTACACTACCCTTATAAAAGTTTGTGCAATATTCATCATAACTCTATTCACCCTCTTCCCCGGATCATATTCTTACATTTGCATCATCATACTTAAAAATTGATACTCAAACAAGTTAGAAGACAAAAACTACCTGACATGGTCATCTACTACTATTTAAGCCTATAGTAGTAGTTGCAGAGTTTTGGGCTATGTCCAAATGGGCGGACGGGTAGCACGTTTGGGCGTTGTCCAAACCCAGAGCATAAGAAGACGTGGAGGAATAATCCACGTGGCTTGTGCTACCTTCAAGCGCCTGCCATTTCTTAAGAACTTGAGGCAAGGACATGTCAAAGTCAATGCCATAAACATCCTCTGGGCTCTCCTCGCACGGCTTCCAAAACTCAACCAATGAAGAAAGGACGTTAACGGCATGTCCCATATCAGGCCTTTGGTGTGGCTCCCTTGCACTACAATGGCTGGCAAGTTCAGCAACGGTGGCTATGCTTGCCAGTGTTTCTTCGTTGAAATCAATCGTAGGGTCTATTGCCTTACGGAAGGACTCCTTGTTCAGATGCATTCTCCTGAACCAGGTTACTAAGTGCATGCTCTCCTCTGGTTGGGTCTCGTCCAGGGCCTTCCGGCCTGTGATAAGCTCCATCAGGATCACTCCAAAACTGTATACATCCACCTTAGTTGTTACTCTTCCCGTCACTGCCAGACAAAGGATAAGAAATTACTTCAATCCATCAATCCTTCCAAGTAATTAGAATACATGTTATATGTAATGTTTTTACTATATACTACTCCGTTATATAAAGCACTTAGTCGATCTTTTCAACTAAATCCTTTACCCCCACATCCTCTGTGGGAAAACCCATGTCCAATCATGTCAAGGGACCAAGAAAACTATGTCATTTTGGTCCAAAACAACAAAGTTTTGTACTTCTGGGATTGGACAGGAATTCCATCTTATCATTTCCTATGTATAGTACTGTATTTTATAAAAACCTTTAATAGAAATAATCCATATAAGGTTTAAGATCTTTTCAAATAGATCTTTGACGGTAGAGACTTCATTAGATCTTTTCAAGCAGAACTTAAATATATAGCTGAAATATAATGGATTACATTTATAGCTCAAGAGCAACTCCAATGGAGGTTGTAAATTGGTAAGATATCATTTACTATTCACATATACCAATCCCTTTTCCTTTTTTGAGCTCCAATCGGTTTGGTAAAAAAATGCCGTGTTTGGAGTTGCCATATTTACCCTCTACAATTGGCAAAATACCAAAAATGCCTAGTTTGGCCAAGTTTAGCAATTATGATTGGAGCAAGGAGAAAAATCTTGAATGGTAAAATACTATTCAAAAGCTATTTTAACGAATAGCAATTCACTTTTACCATCTCCCATTGGATGTTTTTAAATAAAAAGTTCCCCTAAAAGCTATATAGCACAAGCTCTTCTTCAATGGTTTGATAAAAATGTATCTCTCTTCGTCCCAAAATAAAGTTTATGGTTTGACTAGATGAAATTTAAGAAAACTGTTGAAACTAAATAGTGTGTGGTTGATATTTGATTAGAATTTCAAATACGGAGTAATTTATTTGAGGTCCCCTCACCTGCATACTCTGGTGCAAGGTATCCAAAAGTTCCGGCAATCTTGGTGTGGATGGAGCCTTTCCCTTCTGGGGCAAGTCTAACAAGACCAAAATCCGAGACCTTGGCCCGCATATCGTCTCCTAGCAAAATGTTTGAAGGCTTCAGATCCCTGTGAATGAAACTTTGATGTGCTAATTTGTGCAGATACTCCACTCCTCTTGCAACATCTAATGCGATCGTCAACCTTTTTGTCCAATCGAGGGGCTTCAGCCCTTCCTCTTCCCCTGCCCAGTCAAAAAGATGCCTACTTAATGTCCCTTGGGGCATGAACTCGTACACAAGAAGCTTCTCATTTTCATCAAGGCAGTACCCAAGTAGGGCAACCAAGTGCCTATGTCTGACCTTTGTCAAAACAGAAATTTCTGATTTAAACTCTTCTAGCCCCTTACCAGAAAAGATTCCACACTCCATTCTTTTCACGGCAATCTTTGTTCCATCGTATAACTCTCCCTTATAGACGGTCCCAAAACCCCCTCGGCCTATTATGTGGTCTTCACTGAAATTGTTTGTGACATTTCTTAGGACTTGAATTGAGATCACCAAATTTCTAGCCTCGCCCATTTCAAACTCGGTGGTTTGATTGTTGGAAACCGCGTGCATTTCAGTCGAACCCGCAACAGTGATCTTCACACTATTGTTGTTATCAGAACCAGAATGTCGAGGATGGATCACCATTGCAGCAGGAGGACTCTGCACTCTGCTAAAGCGCACCTTTTTGTTTTTGGACACACAGAAAGCCACCATCCCCATCAAACTAAGCAACAAAACACTGCCAACTACAGAAACTAATATTAGAATCCAAATCTTAAATTTCTTAGGAGACTTTAGGGAAGTTCCCCCCTCGTCAGATCCAGGATTCGATGAACCAGGAGAATTTGAGGCTGGAGAATTTGCATCACTCTTGTCTGTACCAATGTTGGGGTTCCCATTGGTATTCACGATCACATTACTCCTAAACGCTGGAACCTTCCCATAGAGCTGGTTGTTAGATACATCCAAGTCAGTAAGGGTGGCAATGCTCGTGAGCTCCTCTGGAATTATGCCACTAAGATTATTCTTGGCAAGGATTAGCCTTTGTAGTGTCTTAAGCAAAGCGAATGCAGGAGAAATTGTACCAGTAAGCCCCATATTCTGAAAGTTAACAATAGTGATATTCCCATTTTTGCACGTAATCCCAGACCAATCCGCGCAGGGGTCATTCCCCTTCCAATTCTCAGCAAATTTTTTAGGATAGCCCATGGATTGTGCTATCAAAAGCAATGTGTTTACTCTAGAGTCACAATCACCGGGCTGTGGCAAACAAAAGCTATTAGTATCTTTCACCAAATCAACAGAAACTGAGTCTTTGAACTTTGGAGTTGGGCCCTGAAGTAAATTGTTAGTCACATTAACAACTTTTAAGGAATCAAGGTTCACCAATGACAATGGAACTGGACCTGTAAAGGAGTTGTCTCTGAGGTTCAATACTTGCAAAGCCTTAAAGCCAGAAAAATCAGGCAAAGGGCCTGAAAACGAATTGGAATGCAACCAAACCTCTTTCAACATTGTCATGTTCTGCAAAACATCAATTCCACCCCCAAGTTTCTGCCCGTTTAAATGCAATGACTCAATGGACATTCCCGAAAAGCCTGAAGGCAATTCCCCTACCAAGTTATTACGAGCCAAATGCAAGTTCACCAGCCCCGGAAACCCGTCCCTGTCGAAAAACCCTGGAATTCTTCCCCATAAATTCACCGAATTCGCTGAGAAATTTTGCAGGGACGAAGCGTTCCTAAGGCTATCAGGGATTTGCCAAGTATCTAAAGGGTTGTTATCAATCTCAACAGACTGCAGAGACGATAAGCCCTCAAAGAAATCATTAGGAATTGAGATGAAGCGATTATTACTAAGCATTAACACTCGCAATGAACTCAACCCATTCAAGCTGGGCAAAGGTCCAGAAATATTGTTCCATTGGACCTCCAAGCGGTCAAGCTGGGTGAGCCTGGAGAGTTCAGGAGGAAGAGTACCTTGAAGGTTCTGGTGCCCGATTTGGATGCGGGTCACCCGCTTGTCGCCGGAGCAAACCACGTGGCTCCACTTGCACGGATCCGGGCCGGACCAGCCCATTTCCGGCGGTGGGTTTAGGCTCTTCTTGAGAGCCAGCATGGCAGAAGCGTCATCGTCGCCGCCGGCCTGAGACACTGAATGCAGAAACAGTAAAGCGAAAATCGCAAGAAACAGTAAAAATGGAAGCTTGCGAAAACCCATTTGGATTGGGTCTGAGAAGAAAAAACGAGAATTGGGTGTGTAGGGTTTAAAAGAGAAAATGGAATTTCAAGAATTTAAGGGGATTTTGATATCTTCTTCAAACTTCAAAGAACTGGAAAGGCAAGACGCGGTTTGTATTAGGGGGTAGAGGGGAAAACCAGAGAAGGGTGGTGGAGGGTGCACATGCGAGGAGAACTGGAGGAGGGGGCCTACAGAAATGTAAAGCAAAAACAATGCAGAAATGGAAATGACAGCGACAGCAAAGCTGGATGGATGATGATGATTCATGCCAACTGCAATTCAAATGAGTTGGACTCCACACCAGTAGCTCCAATCTGGTTCATATTTTGGGCATCAATTTTGTTTTAGACCAGCTTCAATGCGACATTGGGACGTGCAAAGGACATATTATGTCCTATAATGATCTTCCCGTTTCGCAAAACGAAGAAAAATCTTAAATTTTTTCAATCTATTTTATTTAAATATTGGTATAGAAATAAAAAATAAAACATACATATTTAAAAACTACATCAAAAGTTCAACAAAACAAGTGGTGGCAAGAATATTTTATTTTATCATATAGGTCATGAAAAAACACAAATAAATATAAATTCCCGTGAAGTTGGAATAGTGCTCTGGGAAGATCATTATAGGACGGAGAGAGTAACAGATTTTTTATTTTAATATGTCCAGGGAAGAGAAAGAGGGTGAGATGCTAAGTTAATATGTCCAGGGAAGAGAAAGAGGGTGAGATGCTAAGTACACCGCTAGTGAGCTCGCCTGGTCTTCAGATGTGTAATTTGGAACAAAGATTTTCACCGGCGGCAGTGTTGGAGCAACCTCTCAAAAAAACATGGAGGATCATTGTGCGCAGTGAGCACTTGCCCAACACTCTGTTGCCGATTGAGTCAATATAATTTACATCTTCTCACAATCCCGTCACGTAGGGAGTCAGAGCCGTCCGGAGTATGAAACAAATGCAAGTACGAGTGCGCGAATACGTCAAAAATCAAAATATGATGAGTGTGTATTCGAGTTAAAGCGTCACTAAAAAAATTTTAAACACACATACATCTCAACATTTTTATCATTTTATTCCAAACGTGTTTTACTTTGTTTTAAGAAAAACATATAATTCATGGAGTTAATTAATACGACCCTATCTTTAAAAAACACAAAAATAAATTTTTTTTAACACAGTGACTTTAATTAAAAAGTTGAGAAATTATGAAAATGCATATGATGTTCTTATTGTATTTATAACACCCGCATAACCCGAATACATTGACTAGTGGATCGGGTTGCTACTCAAATCGACATCCATCACAGTATTATAAAATGATGCAGAAGCTTATATTATGTACTTAATTGAAACACAAATTTGGATACTTCCCGAAAAACATGATAAATTCGAACGAAATATTAAATTTAATAAACTCCTCAGCCAATATTCTTCCATCTCTTTATCATCGTTGCCCTACAGAATTGTTTCTTTATTCATTATTCCTATTACCTACAAGTAGCAAGTAAAACAAAATACACGCTCCGCTTTCACGCTGAGTGAGAGGTTCTAACAGTAGAAGTTACACATACACTTATTTCAACATACATAATCATTCATAGCATTTCATGCAACAAACATTTTAACAACATCAAGGGATAACAGTAAGAATTCATAAATCAAACCTTAGCTTGTAATGACCCGAAAATGAGCTTATCAAAATTAATTATTTGATAATTAATTAATTACTAAGATGGATCCAGAAATAAGTACTTTATAAAGTTTCTTAATTAATTTTAAAAATTATACCATTTTGTAGAATTTGACTGTCTATATAAAGGTTTATTTAATTTTTTGAAAACTTAATTTCTTTTTAAAAAACTAAATTTATTTTAAGAATTATGATACATATTTCATAATTGTAAGTACTTAAATGATACTTTATCCCCCCCCCCCCTCTCTTTGAAATTTCCCTATTTAATTTTCATAGTAAACTTTTTAAATTTTGATTACAAATTGCAAAAAAATACATTGAATTGCAATATAAATTTAATATCGATAATATCATTTTAATTTGAATCATACTTTTGAAATATCGTATGCGTATTTTTAGACTATATATCATTATATAAATAAAGATATATATATGATCAAAGTATTAATTTGAAACCGTAAAGAGTAAAATGAAAAGTTTCAATGAGATCAACAGACGAAATATATATAAATTTGTTATTGAATATACATTTGTATATTACTATTTAACGTACCTTAATAATAATAATGTAGCGAAGGAATACAATCATAATTAAAAAAGATTTTGTCTCCTTTTTTGTTCTTAAAATGATCGTCAATGGAGTTCATATACATATACATATATAAATATATATAGAACCATTGTTTGTAATATACCCCGTCACAAATTTTAAAAATTGATATTGTGAAGGCGTTTTTGACGACCTTTATGATGTCATACGGAAGTTATGATTTTGTGAAGGCTTTTGTGAAGACAAGGTGACAAATAAGTAACTGTTATGACTTGCATAACGGAACACACTCCGTCATGCTTGAGACAAATTTTGTGACGCCCCCATCCATCACAAAGTTGGAATTCCATGGTGGTAACTTTTTGAGCATTTTTCCATCGCAAATCCGCCACTATGTCGTCACAAATGGTAATGACAGTAAAATCCTTCACGAACGTCCTTGACAAATACGTGGTTTTTTTGTAGTAGAATTTCAATTTGGAGCGTGTTGGACCAAAAAGTGTACCCGATTGGGAGTGTTTAAGTCCCAATCAGGGAGAGTCATATGAAATTCTCCCGTATCACACTTCTGCCGTTGAGATTGCCGAGTGACGCAGAATGGAGCTTGGCTTCATTTCCCTCTTTCTCTTATATAAGGGCTACTTTCAACTCTCTCCATTTTTCATCAAATTCTCTCATTTCTTCGTCTATTATGTTCCTCATTGCAAAATAGTCATATTCTTCATTGAAAGTTTCACCGGAAAATTTCCAATTCCTCAATTTAAGCCCGAGGTATGCCCTTAGATATATAGAGTGATTTGAATGTTCACATAGATCATTTTTACGTTCATAAACGGTCTTTTGGTTGAGTTTTGTGTTAGACATTTTTGAAAACATGCATACTTATGTGTATGTAAATATACCATTCAAAATTCTTTGTCACTAAAGTAGTTTTTTTTAGAGTGCTAATATATACACATAAAAAAAAATTGTAAATATGATTTTTTTTAAACATAGTTATATTTATTAAAATATCAGGTCAGAAGATCATTTTAAAAACTTTTGCTCTGATACCAAAATGTAACACCCTAACTTGAACAGTGTCGTGGACTATTCCAAATTAGAGAGTTAAGAGGAAATATACTAATTTCTTATAAAAACATCATATAAATGTTTATTAAAGACAACGGAAACAAGTTTAATACACAATATGTTTGTGAACATAACGTCATAAAATAAAATACCAACTTTTTTATCAAGCAAATAAATAAACACATAACCGTATTTATCAAAACGGATTTAATTGCCATGTCCTGCACTTCCACTTGTTCCAGCTACATCACCTACGCACAGTAAAAACCAAAAATACTGTACGCTCGGCATATTTGCTGAGTGGTACAAAACAGTATAGGACGGAGTCTCGTAAAAATATACTCCCTCCGTCCCCCTAAGATGTTCTCATTTTGACTTTTGGTGGTTTTTAAGGAGAGTTGAAAAAAGGTGAAAGTTTACCATAATACCCTTAATGAAAAATGGGTGGAGTATATTAAATGAGGTGGGTGAGGTGTAATAAATAAAGTAAGTGGGGGTAGTTGTGGTATTTTAATTGTTAAAAAATGAAATGAGAAGATCTATTGTGGACAAAGAAAAAGGGCTATTGGGAAGATCTATGAGGGACGGAGGGAGTAATTTTTACAAAGATCAATATCTCACTTTCACAGAATGAATTTCCATATATAAAACTACATAGATATAAGTTAGATAAAAACTTTATAAAAGATTTGATCAAACCACTGAGATACGAAATATTCAATTTAACGACATACACCCGGGGTCTCCGAATGTAGCCCTGAGAAATAATGCCTTTTGGGCATCATTCTCGCAACCTTGGCCGATGGTTCTGTATACGTATACGATGAGCGGTGACAGGGGTCTCCTACCGTTACTCCGGAATACAAGTTTACGATGATCTCAAGTTGTTTAAACTTATGATAATATAAAAGTTTGAATATTATTTCCTATATATCAAATCATTTTTATAAATCAATATTTTATAATAAATCACTTTTAAAAGTGTATAAAATATTAATTTGAAAGTAAAATACTACTTTGTATATTTTTTTTAAATAACTTTGAATCATATAAAGAGTGTTTTGTTTTAAAAGATTTTTACAAATATAATAGTTGAACTGGAAGTCCGTGCAATATGATTTTGTACATACCTCGAGTTCGAGAGAGAAAGTGAAACGGACTTGTTGAAGACTAGTAAGGAACCGAGACTTTAGAGGTGTTATGGAGCTTTACCGAAGAACAAAAAAAATAGCAAAAAGTGTCTCAATAACTTGAAGAACACAAAAAAATGCAGGATTTTCGGGAGAGTTTTCTTACCTTAAACGGGCTCTAAACGAACTCTTGTTGGCTCTAACTTCTACTAGTCTTTTGGGAAAGGTTTGGTAGTGTATTGGGAGTAAAATAATTAAATATTTTTATGGATATATAGAGTATAAAGAAGAGAAAAGTTGCTGCAATTTTAAGAAGAGAGAATGGAGAAAAATGAATGAGTTTGGGTGGTATTTATAGGTAAAAACTTGTGGAAACAACCAATAAAGATTACCTCAACTTGATCATAATAATTTAGATTATTTTTGGAGGATTCTAACATCATAAAATCAGGCACATATCAAAAAAATCAAGAGAAGTGTAAAACTCTTCAATATGTCATCAAAATCCATTAAAAATATTTTAAGAATATTTGATGATGTTTGGGTTGATATGGAGTAATTTAATGTGTTTAAGTAACTAAGGAGAATCCAAAATAGCTTAGACATAGATTCCTAAAGAGTCAAAAAAAAATAAAATGAGTAGAGTATTTGGGAATAAATCTTAAATTTTCGAAATGATGTAAAGAACAAAACTACCGCATCCTATTTCCGTTTCTACTACTTCAGTTCTATTGACATAATTGGGTTTTGTGTTTATTAATATCATAAATACGTGAATTGTCCAATTAACAACTTTACACATAATTTTAATTAAATTGGTTCCTACATCAATTGGTACTTCTAAAAATTTATTCTAACAATATAATTACTTCTTAAAATTTTAAACTAATGGTTTAAAAAAAATTATTTCTAAATTATCAAATTGAATCATTAAAGTTTACTAATCATAAAATGAATTTCATTTTAGGCCCTATTTTGGGATGTTACATAGGGGTGTAGGAACCGTCGTTTTTACAAACGGAGCACCGTAGGCACCCCAAATGAACTAGTGTAAGCAAATGACACTAGTAGCTCTGGTATCATTTTAGACTTACTAAATTCTGATTATATTATAAAATTTTTATATTTATTTATTCTACAGTAGCATCTATTTTGTGTATAACTTTTTACACGTAAATCCAAACTTAACAAACTATATATCGTTGGTCACTATTTCACGAGATCTACCCAATGTGCAAAATTTTGAATTTAAAGGTTGACTTTACAAATTGTTTATACTTTTGAGTCAAAAAATAAAATAAAATACTCCGTATTATATTTATTTTTCTCAAAATAACAACTAACTACTAAGCTGGTTTTCAGGGCATTAGATTATTTCTTTGCTTGAAAAGAAACCAACTTCTCACGTTAAAATATAAGAAATTTTAAGAGTATATTTTAAAATATTATTTATTAAAAATATTATCACCCCAAATATGACTAAAAGGTAGAAAAAGTACCAAAATAGAAGCTCTTACTCTTTGTTTAACTCCTATTTAGAATAATTTCTTTAACGTTTATTAAACATTTCATTTACATAATATTCTTCTAAATAATTGTAAATAATCTAAAAATTTTACTTTAAAATTTATAAAATTATAATTATAGTTTTAAATATTATATTTTCATCCTATAACATTAAAAATATTTTTCCATGTATTTTTATTTCAAAATGGACCAATTTGATAAAATACCTAATTAGAAAGTACTATTTTGGAAAAGTAGTATAAGGTTTTAGCGTCTCTTTAACGCGGTCGTTAGTTGGGAAGGCTGAACTAACATTATTCTCAATTAACAAGTGTCATCTCAATAATTAGTTATTTTCGGGAACTAGTTTAGAAAAAAACACATAGTTATTTAGTACCATTTTGAAAATTTACTCAACAATTAATAGATTTCACATTGATAAAAAATGGATTCCTCAAAATTAATGAGTTCTAAACAATCTATCTAAAGCTTTTATAATCAAAATTGAATACACCTCTTATAAAAGATTATACTCCCTCCGTTCTATCATGATTTACAACCTTCTCTATTAAAAAATCACATGAATTTTTATTTATTTGTGTACTTTTATTGATTATTTGATGAAATAAAATATTTCTATCACCTCTTATTTTGTACTCCCTCCATACTAATTTAAATCGCATGTTCTGCTTAACAATGTTTGTTTGGAAATATTTTCAACACAATTTATTTAAAAATTGGAAAAAATTAAAAAATAAAATTTACATATTTAAAAACTACATAAAAACTCTACAAAACAAGAAGTGACATTACTATATTATTTTATCAAATGAGTAAAGAAAATAAGGAAAGAAAACGAATAAAATTTAACTCCGTTAATGATTTTTAGGCAAATTAATTTGGGACGGAGGATTTAAAACTTTTGATATACTTTTTAAATAAATAAGTTTTATTTTTTTATATGTATACCACTCTTTCAGGGTTCTATGAAGCAAAACATTTTGCACCAACATTGGACAAGTGATGATCAATCAAGTTTTTCACTGATGGATTGAATTTACAACTAGAAAAGAAACTGCACCATTGTGACTTTTAAGGACCCTTTTTTCACAGAGAAGCCAACAATATAAAATCTGACACCTACACAATCAGGAACAAAACAGTAACCCATCCGAACTCAACAACTTAGCTACATCGAATCCGAATACTTATTTCTTAGGAAAAACATAACTGGAGAGTGCTTCACCTGCCATCCGTGGACGTGAGCGATTCAGCGAATCCAAACGGGCGGACGGGTATGCTCGTTTGGGTGTTATCGAAACTTGGAGCATAAGAAGATGTGGAGGAATAATCCATGTGGCTTGTGCTACCTTCATACGCCTGCCATTTCTTAAGAACTTGAGGCAAGGACATGTCAAAGTCGATGCCATAAACATCCTCTGAGCTCTCCTCTGACGGCTTCCAAAACTCTACCAATGAAGATAGGACATTAACCGCATGTCCCATATCAGGCCTTTGGTGTGGCTCTCTTGCACAGCAGTGGCTGGCAAGCTCAGCAACAGTGCTTATGCTCGCTAGTATTTCTTCGTTGAAATCAATCGTGGGGTCTATTGTCTTACGGAAGGACTCTCTGTTTAGATGCATTCTCCTGAACCAGGTTACTAAGTGCATGCTCTCCTCTGGTTGGGTCTCGTCCAGAGCCTTCCGACCAGTGATAAGCTCCATCAAGATCACTCCAAAACTGTATACATCAACCTTTGTTGTTACTCTTCCCGTTACTGCCAGACAAAGGGCAAGAAATTATTTACATCTCAAAAATGAGTAAATCCCATTGACATATCATCAATCCTTTCAAGTTAGTAGAATACATTTTATATGTAATGTTTTTACTTATATTTGATTACGTAAACTAAAGTATTTAATTTGGGGACCAACAACTCTATCATATGTGTGAAATCCCGTGTCCGACCATGTCAAGAGACCAACAAAACTACATCATCTTGGTCCAAAACAACATAGGTTTGTACTTCGGTGGGTTGGACAAGGCATTTTGGACAGGGCTTTGATCTTATCATTTACTACATACTATTTACCAAAAACATGTATTGGACCATTTGGACATACTCCATATATTTAAATATACTCCATATAATCTTTAAGAATATCTTTTCAAACAGATCTTTGACAGTAGAGACTTCATTGGCTCTTTCAAGCGAATTTAAATATAGCTAAAATTTAATGCATTTATAGCTCTTATATAATGCATTACATTCATAGCTCTTATTTAATGCATTACATTTACAGAGCTTTGAAGGGTACGATAAAAATTTACTCTCCATCCAAAATGATGTTTACGGTTTGACTATACAAAACTTAATAAAAGTGTTAAAAGTAAAAATTGTGTGCTTGAAATTTGATTAAAAGAGAGAAATGTTGTTAGCCACATATTCCTTTCCTTAATGAGAAAATTTCTCAAAATAATGAGAATGTAAGTGTAAAATTTATTTCGGGACATCCCAAAAAGAACGTGTAAACTTCATTTTGGGACGGAGTAGATGTCAATAGAGAAAGTTCAATAGAAAGAATTTGAACAATAAAGGAAAGAATAGCAAGTTGGAAGTTTAGTTTGAGACTCATTTTAATAAAATGCAAGTTTTTCATGGAAAAGAGGGAGAAAAAGCTTATATACTTAAAAGTATATGTTTTCTTAAAGGTTTTAAGAACTCCCCTAGCGTCAACGAAGAAAAATTTATTTGAGGTCCCACACCTGCATACTCTGGTGCCAGGTATCCAAAAGTTCCGGCGATCTTGGTGTGCACGGAGCCTTTCCCTTCAGGGGCGAGTCTAACAAGACCAAAATCTGATACCTTAGCCCGCATATCATCTCCTAGCAAAATATTTGAAGGCTTAAGATCCCTGTGAATGAAACTTTGGTGTGCTAATGTGTGCAAATACTCCACCCCTCTTGCAACATCTAATGCTATCGTCAGCCTTTTTGTCCACTCCAGCGGCTTCAGCCCTTCCTCTTCCCCTGCCCACTCAAAAAGATGCCTACTTAAAGTCCCTTGAGGCATGAACTCGTACACAAGAAGCTTCTCATTCTCCTCGAGGCAGTACCCGAGTAGGGCAACCAGATGCCTATGCCTCACCTTTGTCAAAACAGAAATTTCTGATTTAAACTCTGCTAGCCCCTTACCAGCAATGATTCCACCCTCCATTCTTTTCACTGCAATCTTTGTTCCATCGTGTAACTCTCCCTTATAGACAGTCCCAAAACCCCCACGGCCTATTATGCTGTCTTCACTGAAATTGTTTGTGACATTCCTTAGGACTTGAATTGAGATCACCAAATTTCTAGCCTCACCCATTTCGAACTCGGTGGTTTGATTGTTGGAAACCGTATGGATTTCACTTTGTGAACCAACACTAGAACTTGAACCCGCAACTGTGATCTTCACACTGTTGTTGTTATCAGAACCAGAATGTCGAGGATGGATCACCATTGCACTAGGAGGACTCTGCACTTTGCTAGAGCGCGTTTGTTTGTTTTTGCACACAAAGAAAGCCACTATCACCATTAAACAAAGCAATAAAACACTGCCAAGTACAGAACATAAAATTAAAATCCAACTCTTAGATTTCTTGGGAGACTGTAGGGAAGTCCCCCTGTCATCAGAACCAGGATTCGGTGAACCAGGAGGATTTGAGGCTGGAGAATTTGCATCACTCTTGTCTGTACCAATGTTGGGGTTCCCGTTGGTATTCACAATCACATTATTCTTAAACGCTGGAACTTTCCCATAGAGCTGGTTGTTGGATACATCCAAGTCAGTAAGGGTGTCAATACTAGTGAGCTCCTCTGGAATTATGCCACTAAGATTATTCTTGGAAAGGATTAGCCGTTGTAGTGTCTTAAACGAAGCGAACGCAGGAGAAATCGTACCAGTAAGCCCCATATTCTGAAAGTTTACAATAGTGATATTCCCATTTTTACACGTAATCCCAGACCAATCTGCACAGGGGTCATTCCCCTTCCAATTCTCGGCAAATTTTCTAGGATAGCCCAAGGATTTTGCAATCAAAAGCAATGTGTTTACTCTAGAGTCGCAATCACCGGGCTGTGGCAAACAAAAGCTATTACTATCTTTTACCAAATCAACAGAAACTGAGTCTTTGAACTTTGGAGTTGGCCCCTGAAGTAAATTGTTAGTCACGTTAACAACCCTCAAGGAATCAAGGTTCACCAACGACAATGGAACCGGACCTGTTAGGGAGTTGTCTCTAAGGCTCAATACTTGCAAAGCCTTCAAGCCAGAAAAATCTGGCAAGGGACCTGAAAACTCGTTGGAATGCAACCAAACCTCTTTCAACATTGTCATGTTCTGCAAAACATCAATTCCACCCCCAAGTTTCTGCCCGTTTAACCACAACGACTCAATGGACATTCCGGAAAAGCCTGAAGGCAATTCCCCTTCCAAGTTATTAAGAGCCAAATGCAAGTTCGCCAGCCCCGGAAACCCGTCCGGGTTGAAAAACCCTGGAATTCTCCCCATCAAATTCACTGAATTCGCTGAGAAATTTTGCAGGGTCGAAGCGTTTCTAAGGCTATCAGGGATTTGCCAAGTAGCTAAAGGGTTGTTATCAATCTCTACGGACTGCAGGGACGACAAGCCCGCAAAGAAATCATCCGGAATTGAAGTGAAGTGATTATTACTAAGCATTAACACTTGCAATGAACTCAACCCATTCAAGCTGGGCAAAGGCCCAGAAATATTGTTCCCCTGGACCTCCAAGCGGTCAAGCTGGGTGAGCCTGGAGAGTTCAGGAGGAAGAGTACCTTGAAGATTCTGGTGCCCGATTTGGATGCGGGTCACCCGCTTGTCGCCGGAGCAAACCACGTGGCTCCACTTGCACGGATCCGGGTCGGACCAGCCCATTTCCAGCGGTGGGTTTAGGCTCTTCTTGAGAGCAAGCATGGCAGAAGCGTCATCGTCGCCGCCGGCTTGAGACACTGCATGCAGAAACAGTAAAGCGAAAATCACAAGAAACAGTAAAAATGGAAGCTCGCGAAAACCCATTTGGAGAGAAACAACGGATTGGGTCTGAGAAGAAAAAGGGTGTCTTTTTTTCAGAGAAACGAGAATGGGTGTAGGGTTTACAAGAGAAAACGGAATTTCAAGAATTTAAGGCTGTTTTTGGCCTTTTGGGGACTTCTTTCCTTCTTCAAAGAACTGAAAGGGCAAGACGCGGTTCGTATTTGGGGATAAAGAGAGGAAAACCAGAGAAGGGTGGTGGAGTGAGTGGGCACATGTGAGGAGAAGGAGAATTGAAGGGGGGCCCTACAGAAATGGAAAGCTTAAAAAAATGCAGAAATGGAAATTGACAGCAACAGCAAAGCTGGATGGATGATGATGATTCATGCCAACTTGCGATTCATATGAGTGAGAAGACTCCACACGAGTCGCTCCAATCTGGTTCAAATTTCGGGCCGTAGGAACAAGAAGAGCTCCCCATTTCCAGTCTAATTTCCATTCATTTTTGTTTTGGGTCCGGTGTGGTTTAATAAATAGGCTCCACTTATATGGTATATACCTATTTTCTCATATAGCATGACAAGCTTATAAATCTACAATCAGAACCCTAAGTACCATCGTGCGTCTGTGCTCGATCGCGAGGGATAAGGAGCCAATCGACTACCAAAACCCTAGGTGATGGATCATTGTATCGTAGCGCTGCACCGAAGAGCGGAAAAACCTTAGGTGTTGCAGTTGGAAAAAAATGGAACACAACGATCGGGAACAAAAACGAAAGGCACGGCGATGACAATGGTCTACTTCAAGATGGAGATGATGGTGGTCTACTTCATGACAGAGTTGGTGGTGACAGTGATACAGTGAGTATTTTGTAAATTAACATTACGTTACGGACTAATGAACAAAATGTTTGTTTCATGAAAAAAGTATTTTATTTTGTGCAAATGAATATTTAACAAAAAAATAAAAACATTCAAAATAAACATTATGTTGTTTAAAAATATTATGTTGTGCCTAGAGCTAAATACAACCGATTGTATCATATTCATATACGCTCCACGAATGTCAAAAATATCGTCATGCAAACATAGAACTCGTGTACAACAATAATCAAGTAAGGAGAACTTCTAATTAATAAAGCATGAGAACTAGAATCTTCAAGAAGGAATCATAGGGTGTATAGGGCATTAAAATGCTTATTACCGAGTAGAAAGCTTGAATATTTTTTCTAATTTCTAACAAAGTCCATGCAAGAAATTTCCTTCTAACAAACACGAAAGAACCTCCATATCATTTACTTTGTAGTGCTTTGCATTGTGAATGTCTGACATATAGCTTTAACATTTTAAAAATGCAATCTAACATAGGAAAATTATGTAGTACAAACCACAAACAGATGTACTTTTTTCTTGGTACATCATGGCAAACTTGTTATTAAAAATAAATTCTAAAATGAGCACTGCGTTATTTTAGAATGAACACAATGCTAGAAGCATTATGTTATAACATTCTCAAAGTTAATCTGCATCATTAAAAATATTCAAAACACTAACACTAATTAAAAACACTAGTCCAAACAAAGCCATTATCCTTAGATATTCCGTGTATCATCCTCATAGCGATCAGTAAGCTCCTGGATAAACTGAAAAAGTTGACAAACGAATTTCAAAATAATGGCAATAGATACTGCAATTTTGATGGATTATTAACAAATTCTGATGCAAGAGATTTGAATCACGTAGAAAAAGATGCAAAACCGATGCAAATATTGTATACAAACAGGTGAGCAACAAAGTTAGACTCAAAAACGCAAGTATATTGTTTTACATTCGAGCTCAAACACAAGGATGCGGTGATCGGTGACCATGAATGATTTTTACCATGGACCTGGCTTGTTGGCCAACTATTGGAATACCTTCAGAGATGTGGACCAGCACAAGTTTCATATATGCTACGCGACTTGTGACTAGCAGTAATCAGAAAACACTTGATTCTTCATTGCTCAGGCTACAAAAGTTCGCCAATTACTGGAATCAAGGAATTATTTTTTGAAGGAGGGATGCCACCCTGAGCACTTTCTTCTTGAGAGGAGGGATGACACCACAGCCTTCAAACAGAGGCGACGTGGGTGGTGCGAGATGGCGTGTAGTTATTGGGTGGCGACGACAATGAGATTTTGTAGGGAGGGGTGGGGAGTGACAATGGAATGGAAGGAGGTGAATATAAGGGAAATGACTCAAGTGATACAGTTGAGAGATTGATAGAACAAGTACACAAGGACAACACACTTTTTTTGCAAGAATTTGATTTCAGGATCTGTTACAATGAGGGGATGTTTATAGTAAAGATGGAATTTTACATTCAAAGTACGTACACTAAACTACGTACATTCAAACTACGTGTTTATAGACCCAAGGAAGCAATTTTTAATATTATAAAGTTAATTAAAATTGTTTTCTAATTAGTTTTAGCATTTTTTCATAATGTTTCAGTCTTCTTATCATTTTTACATTTATTTCAATTATCGAAAACTAATTGGGAGTAAAATTTTAATTATTAAATATAATTACAAAAAGATTTACTCCGTACTTGGTTGAATTACATTGAACTTAAAGTTGGATGCTACTGAATTAAATTGTGCTAAACTGGAAAGAACTTACTCAAATTAATAATTAGGGGATCGTTTTGATTGTATTCTACGGAGTACTTTATTTTGTTGTCAAACTATGTTAGTAATCTTGGTAATATTATTACGAGTAGTCATAACTCATGGTGACCCAAGGAATTCAAAACGTAAATACTCTGTATATAGGATGAAGAGAGTATACTAAATTGTCCATAAATTGATAGTCTCTAAAATTTTAATGACCCCTCTCATATGCTTAATTAAATATATGCCGAGATATATATCATTCAAATTCAAGGAATACTTACATCTGCTGCCATGGTAAGGCTATATGAAGAGAACAATCTTGGAAGCAAATTCCCAGGTGAAGGCATGAGCACAACAGATGTGGAGGCCTCGTCGTGTCAAAGTCAATGCATATCTTGCCGAGGAAAGAAAACGGTTGAACCTTTCTGCTGAAGCCTGTTGAATGTTGCCCATCCAAGACATGAGTTCCAACATTGCTGAAAAGTGAAAAGTGGTTAACAAGTTGTTTTAGTATTTCACTACTTCGTGTGTGTGTGTGTATACATAAATACATATATATACACACACACACAGCAAGGATCATTTGACACTCACCTTGGGTGTCATTTTTTTGACACCAGCGGCCCTACGGATACCTGCAGGGCTTCCAAACGGCCCGGTGTCATAGTTTGACACCCAAGGTGAGTGTCAAATGATCCTTGCTCTGTTTGTGTGTGTGTGAGTTGAAGTTAGGTATGAATGCATCACCAAAAAGTAATCTCATGTGAATGTATCGAATCCCGATCTGGAACCTAAAGTAGACCGCTCCAATTGCAGATTCTAAAAGGAAAAGAAGCTAGCTTCAATCAGAAATAAGCAAATGATTATTGATAATAAAGGAAATGAAACTCATTGAATTTTTGTAATAATCCTTTCGGACTCTCACATATACTGTTACACAAAAAATTACCAGATCCGGAATTAGGCTTCAAAGAGAGACCATGCAGTGCATATTTAGCATATGAAAGTAGTCGCTGTCGCTGGGATGCACCTAACTTAATTATCAAAGATCTTAAGAGCCCACTGGATATAAATAAATAGAAATAAGCAAATGATAGTTGATTTTAAAAAAACAAAAGATAACTTTACAGAGTACATCTCTGGAACTAGAAAAGGGAAATACAAGATAATTTATTATAATAGTATAACTAAGTTCTTACTCGGCTCGTAATACTGTAAGAAATTCATTAGGTAGTGACTCGAAGAAGGAAGATATGTCTTCGATTCTGAGAGACTTCAAATCCTTGTTTAGACTCTGCTTTTTTTCAACTGACATTCCCCTTGAGAGTGCTGATTTACTGTAATAAAGGCAATACTAGGAATTATATTCCACTTTCCAACTGTCAATTATTGGTCTCCTACTGAATCCACCATTGCTTTCATTCTTACTCTGATAGTTTAATACAAAAACAAACTCATGCAAATCACATACTATTGGAGCACACGTCTTTTCCCAGTGTAATAAAGGGGGAGGGGGGGATCACCTCTCAATTGTTCTCCCTGTAAATATTACAGGCAAGTATCTTGAATATTTCCCAATACCAAAATTATCCCCCAGCTGTTGGATTTTGTTAGAATCATTAAGTATTAAAGCCTCCCATAGTTGGCAGAAGTTCAGCCTAAAAGCTTCATCCAATTTCTTGCAAATTCCAAAATCCAAAAGAACTGCATTCATAGAAGCTATTACTAAAGAAATACAGGAGGGCATATCTAATATGATTATCAGTCATGAAGCACAAAAAGAGAAGGGTTTAAGAACTGTCCACAAAAACATACCTAAAGAGAAACCATTCCGTCCATCTGGACAAACTAGTACATTTCCAGGATGTAGATCACCATGTAGAAAACCATGGACAAATATCATTTCTGAAACAGCATCTGCTAAGGCTTTCGAAACCTAAAACATCAAAACCACAAAGTTGGTTATGACAATGGCTGGAGCAAGCAACGGCCTGAAGAAAGTCAAGAAAAAGTTGTTACTAGCTGCGGCAATGAGAGATCTGAGATAGCTAAGACCGACCTTTGATGGACTAATCCCTGTTTGCTTCATTAAGTTCAAATCATCTACCTGAGAGCTAGATAGTTTCTTGTTAATGGCCCATTTCTGACAATAGTTGAACCCCAAAAAATAATATTGACAACAAAACCTAGGAAAGTTTCATAAGGAAAAAGGGGTCAAATGCACCCATAACGACAACTTATTGGTACCATCATTGTGAATGTATCAGAGCATTTGAATATTGTCAAAAAAATTAAAAGGGTCGTTAATCCTGATGGAAAGTGACTGCTTTCTATGAAGGAGGAAAAACCTATATTAATTTGGCATACTGATTAATATCATGAACTTTGAGTTAACTTGACATAAACACACACCATGCCACCAAAAGCTGGCAGAACAAAATACCTTGAATCCTTTACAAAACTCCATCGTCAAAACATTCCTTGTTGTGAAACCCTGCATATGGTTACAAAGTTTTGCAGCTATAGTACGCAAGTAAGCAACATACATAATATTAGTGAACTCAGAAATTGTCAACCATGAAAAAGGCATGTTGCCGACGAAGAGTAATTTGCTGCCATACCCAATAAACTTGAGGAAACCTAATCATGCTGTTGCTTTTGAAGTTTTCAGACATTTGCTCGAGGTTTTTAGCCTCTTCAATGAAATCTGGAGAATTATGTAGAAGAACTTATTCAATAATGACGAAGTTAGATTGTCAACATGAAACACATTAAAGAGAGCAACCCACATATGGAGATTATAAAAAAAATAATGACGAAGTTAGATTGTCACATACCAAGCTCAAAAGTAATAGATTTCTTAAATTCTGATACCAGCCACTCAAACCTGCATTCTGGGAAAAACTAAAGCAAAAAATGGCAAGTTATTGAGCAGATGCAGCAAGTGGGGTGGACCGCAAGTCCACAGTTCTAATACAAAACCACTGAAGCTGATATTTGATAGGAAATAGAGGATAGCATATAAGAAAAATTAAAAACATAACCAGAAATAATATCCTATTCGGCAAGAGTGGAGGCCATGGCAGATGGCACTTGTAAAAATATAGTCAGGCAGGTGAGGTAGCCATGTGAAATTTGTGAAGAATGGTGCGTTGTGGTTGTCTATTGCGGTTTATGGGGCACCATGTGACAAAATTTGGTGATCCACCATTAATAGCATAGATGTATTCAAGGAGCATATTAATAAGCATAATTGCAGATACGCGTTATGCTAAAAGCCTAGAATCAAAATAGGGAAAAATATATAATCCGAGATATTCAATACATTGTTTACAAGTAAAAAATGATGAGTTCTATTTAAATCAAAAACTTGGTTTTGCATTTGCATATTATCTCTTGTTAACAACAGATCGACTGCCTATTCGAATTGCCATGCACACTGATTTGCGTTCATAAATTTTCACATAAAGAAGCTTGGTCAGAAAGACAACCATTCAGAATTAATAGTGGCCTCAACCACCCGCCAAAAATGATTACTGATTCAAACTATTTTGTTTTTCAACCTTGGCATCAGGGTCCCTGACCCAGCTCCATCTATTTGGCTAATTGCACATGCTATAAATTGTACAGTATAGAGGTTTATCTGATACATATTGGCCTAGGTTTCGGGATCCCGGCCCCAGCTCAGGGCCGACTACTCAGCAGGTATATAAAGAAAGGATGGAGGGAAAAAATTAGATTATTAAAAAATTAAAATTGGCATCGCCTTGAAAGTACACAAGGCTTCAGGTAAAACTACCATCCCTCACACTTATGTTTTCACAATGGAGATGCAATAGTGACCAAGCGGTTGATGCTTCAAATGTCAATGTTGAAGAAATGAAATCAAAGCTGAAATACATTTGTTCATACCCATGAAGCAAATTTGGAGATAAAAGACATTGTTGCAAGATCAAATTTCATCTGGTACTCTAATCCTGGATATTGCACCTACATTTGAAATGGCATGGATCACAAAAAAGCAGAAGTTCCACATAAGCATATCAAGTATTTAAAAAAAGGTTATAGAACTTCAAGCATAAATTATACCCCAGTTCACCGACCTTGACAACCACTTCTTTATTATCTCTCAAAACAGCATGGTGTACTTGAGCAACAGAAGCTGCTGCAAATGGTTGCTCGTCAAATGATAAGAATCTGAATACAGTAAATTCCGATACTTGCATAGGTTCAGATCAAGAACATAATATAGGCAATATATAAGAATCACTGAGGATGCACTTTTGAACACTTATTAACAAAGTGATTTTATTCATCTGATTGTTTCTCTCATTTTAAGATAAAGGTAGAGCTGAAAACTTCTATAAAACTAGACATGCATGGATGGGTTCCGGATAGGTTCTCACGGTGTAAAGAGATTTGCATTCTTTGCGTTCCTGTAACTTACTAAATAAAACAAATGCAAAGAGAAAGTCTTACAGTGTTTGACATCAAAAGAATGAAAAAAATGGACCCATTATCATAGATGCCTATTAGCCATTAGGATTTATCAGATTTATTAACGAATAAAGGATGGAATCACAAAAATCACATGGTTATAGGCATAGCTTAGCCAAAATGGGGATTGAGAAGAACATGATAAGTTTATACAATATCCCAACGGAGTGCACTTGTGGTAACTTACATCTCCGATGAATTTGGACCCAAACTGTTGCTCAGTACTTCCTTGATTGATTCAAAAGGACAAGGAACAGCCTAAAGTAATAAAACATTATCAATTACAAGTTCACAAATTAAAAATACTATTGACCCACTACTTTGTCCATATTTTCCAAATTGGTCTTTCCAAAAAGATCTTTCATATCATATTTGATTGTTTGGCATTATTTAGGTGACTCGAATCAATCCAAACTTTGCAAATTCAATATCAACCACACAACTCCACTTCCAAATTTGAGTGCCACTCATTCCTATCGAAAATAGTTGGTCATAGGGAGAGAAAAATGCAAAGCATAAAAGAAGGATCAAATATGTACACCATAAGGTTTGATAATGATGGAGCAAAAGTTAATATAAAGAAATCAATGTTAGTACATGCATGTGGTACAAAGTTTACAAACCTGGTCTTGCAAAGATGACAATGTTGATGAGTATTCTTTTGGAACTTGCTTGACACGCATTGCTGCAGCAAACTGGCCAGCTTTGACATAAACACCTTTGTTGGCTTCACATAGTCTCAATATTCTCTTTGCAGACCTTAGATGTACCTTCAATCCAAGAGATTAACAACATTACCCTAGTGCCTTAAAGGCTCCCTCCCATTGCGGGGTAAGGGGGTCGGATGTAAGCAGCCGACCCTTATGTTTAGAATATAGAGTGGATGTTTCTACATGACCCATTATGAGTGTCTAAAGTTGCATTGACTAACTGCTACATCACAATTGAAAGAAGCGCGGACAATTTAAAGAGCCATTTTGCTTTACTCCACCATACCCCAAAGCCAAAAAAAATAGTGAATCTTTGGCTTCATTGGAGATGATGGAATGCAATTCAGGAGATTAAAATTTCACTGAAAGATGAATGTGCAGCCAGGGTATATAATAATGCAGAAATAAAAGCTAGAGTGAACTACGTCACTCTAAACTACTCCTTGTCTTCTCATGCACTATTCACACGATCAAACTTTATTCGTTTTGTTTCCTTATCATCACTACTCATTTCATAATATATTAAAGTCATGTCACCTCTTGTATTGTATAACTTTTTATGAAATTTTTAAATATATAAATTTTATTTTTGAATTTTACACTTACAATCAAATAAATTGAATTGAAAATAACTTCAAAAAACCTTGTAACCCGAAATGAGATGAAAAATTCTGGATGGAGGGAGTATTAATTTAGTTTTACACTCCTGCCATCGCTAAAACAAAGTATGACTTCCCTTAATGGAGCGTCTCAAAATAAGCTTCACACTTCTCTCATTTCTATTAAAGGAAATATGTGGCTCACAACATATCTCTCTCTCTATTCTAAATGAATTCTAACCACCCACTTTGTAGTTTTTATATACTCCGTATATAAATTTTTATTTTTTAAAATTACACCAATATTTAAATAAAATTAATTGAAAGTAACTATAGTCAAACATCATAAACCTATATAGAACAAACAAAGTGAGATGGAAGAGCTGAGATTCAAAATTTGACCGAGCACAAACTGATTTTGACTACACTGAAAATAAAAGTAAATTAGGCAAATAGCTACTAGCTCGGCTTGCTTTAGTTCATCTTCACCCAAAAAGCTAGCTTATGAAAATGGAAACTTAACAACCTATCATTGGAATACAACAGTATATAACTCTATCTGATCACCATGATCTTATTCTTTCATATTCTTTCAATACAAGTTCAGTTCAGTTGAAATCCAATTAGGGATGAAGTTTGATGAAGCAGAGTTCAGAACAAAATAACAACAATCCTTAAGTGCTAGCAACCCTTTTTCTCATTGAATCTGTATCATACTAAAGAGTTATCCAGATCACGATATGTGTTCCTCAGTTCCTTATCACAGCCATCCTTATTACTGAAATGTCAATCAATTGTGATGAAAATACATACCACCCACAGATGCCATCAATGCATTTTCTAGCCTTTTAAAAGAAAATTTAAGGCTAACCTCAGTAACAGCCCACAGATAGTCCTCAGTGTTCTGAGTCAAGCCGTGCAAAGAGTACGTGTAGTCAACAGCATTCGAAGTGATCTGTAAAAAAAATAAAAATAAATAAAATAATTGCAGCACAAAAGTAAAATCCATTGACGAGAGAAAAGAAGTCTGAAGACTGTTGCGATGAAATATTGGGGTGGAATCCTACAGTGAAGAGAGCGCGGGAGGAACGAACTAAACCGTTGATGAAGGGGAAATCTGTGGGAGAATTGGGGGAACTGGGGTTTCTGGTTTGGAACATGACGGCGGTGGCACCGCCAAAGCCAGCGACGGCGATCAGGTATTTCCGGGGAAATTTGAACATTTGACGCCAAGGACTCATGGTTGCACACTTGTAGGTCCAATGAACTGCTGGTGGAGGCTCGGCCTCGTGGAGCTCCTTTGAGCGGGTAGAGAAAATGTCACTCAAATGGAGTGAGTAGTGAGTATATCATTTTGGATTTTGGAGTAAAGTACGGAATAGTAGATTAAGATATTTGTGCCCTAATTTGTAATGTGCTAGGATGCTAACGCATTAACATTTTGTGTTAGTGTAAACCATCAAAATGTTAGTGTATATCTTTTGTGTAACTTTGGGGTACACTGTTTGGTGTATGTGTAGCATGGTTGTAAAGTACGGAGGAGTACTCTTCGTCACAAAAAAAACATTTTTCTCTTTCTTTTTTTATTTTTCCTACAAAATTTTTCATATTCCTATTAAAAGTCCACTTTTACTTATCACATCTTATTTTTACTCATCACATCAATAGTATTTTTAGAAAGTCAACAAAAAAATATATATCTCTTAAATTTCCTAAAAATCAAAATGGGAACATCTTTTTGGGACGAATGGTTCTTAAATTTTTACTCATCACTAATCAAATCAGAGGTTTACCCTCAATCGACACAGCGGTCTCGATGCTACGCAGTCTCAATTATCGTCATCACCTGTGCTCTATCGCTCCTTCAATTCAAGGTCACCAGTGTTCCATCGCTTCATCGTTCCTTCGATTTCATTCTCGGTTGTCATCGCCGGTGCTCCATCACTCCTTCGGTTTTCGCTCAAATTAGACACTAGCTAGTTGTATGGTTCTTCCCGTACAACCAGTTGTACAATATAAATTGTGACTCAAAGGTGCAGATGTTTTGTTGTCTAAGGGGGTGTTTGTTTTTTCTGCAGGAAAAGGTCTGCAGTCTGCGGACCACTACTGTAGACATCTGCAGGAGAAGTGGTGGACCGAAGGTCTGCGGTCTGCAAGAAGAAGACTATTTGTTTTTTAATGTTTGTAGACTGCTATATAAATTAATGGTGGTAGTGTACGGTGGTGGTGTATGGACGATTGTGGTGGTGGTGGAGGGTGGTGGTGGACGTTGACGGCGGTGGTGGTGGACGAAGGTAGTGGTGGCGGTGGATGGTGGCGGTGGTGGTGGACGACGATGGCGGTGATGGTGGACGGTGGTGAACGGTGGTGGTGGTGAAGAGAAGTAGAAGAAAAAAATGGAGAAGATGTTAGAAGACATAGGTTAATGTCTTCTCCAAGAAGATGTCAGGAACACCTTTTTGAGTGAAATGTCTTCCAAAAAACAAACAATCTGCAGAGCTCAGCATCTGCGCGCGTCTGCGCGGCGCAGACAAAAGAGGCCAGAAGCTCTTCTGGCCAAAAAACAAACACCCCCTAATACTCCCTCCCTCTAAAAATTATTTATTTTTTATTTCAATAATAATTTATAAATAAAATCATTTTTAAAGTCAAGGGATTTTGCACATTGATCGTAAGGGATAGTTAATTTTGGAACGAATGAAGTAATTTTGGAGTACTAATAAATAGTCCGTTTTTGAAACTTAACTAGACTCGTACCCGTGCATTGCACGGCCTAATTATAAACTATATAATTATGAAAATTATTGATGAAAGAAAATGATAAAATTAAATTACAATAATAACATATAATCAAATAATAAAGACACGAACGGCTCGTAGCATAAGCATCCAAGTGGTTCGATAATTGTTAATCTCGGCAAGTGCATTTCACATACCTTTTAAATGTTTTGAGACATTTTTTTAAAAGTAGGGCGAATTGGGATGAGAGGTATTAAATGTTTAGATGATAAGTAATATATATAATTCGACAATCAATTTACTCATTAAATATCTTGATTTAGTGAATCTATTTCTTTAATATGATTTGACATAAAGTATGGATTGATTCACACATCAACTTTATTACGCACGCGGTTTCATAGCAATACAACATTTATTTATTTATTTTGATTTGACATAAAGTTTACATTGAACCAAGCACCAATATTACTACATGCGCGGTTCCATACCAATACACTACACATTTATTTATTTTGATTTGACATAACGTATGCATGGAGTCACGCATCAACTTTACTACGCACGCGGTTCTATAGCAGTACACTACCCATTTATTTATTTTGATTTGACATAAGATTTGCATCGAGCCACGTACCAACATTACTACACACGCGGTTCCATATCAATATATTACCTATTTATTTATCTTGATTTGATATAAAGTTTGCATCGAACCACGCACCAACATAACTATGCACGCGGTTCCATATGAATATACTACCATTTATTTATTTCGATTTGACATAAAGTTTGGAAAATGAAGTTATTAATCCATCCATTAAATGCTTGAAAATAGGAAAAGTATAAATTAAATGGATTTGACATAAAGAACATTGAGCAATGAGAGAGATTTAACACTACTTTTACTTTATGGAGAAATGCACCCATGATTTGACCTGAAGATGTCCAAGCTAGCAAAAAGAGAGATAGAGAGTTTGGAGAGAGAGCTTCGAGAGATCGGTGGATAGAGAGATGGAGTACATCATCGGTTGGATATCATCGCTGCAATCGCCGGTATTAATATATAATTTTTCATAGGAATTTCTTTTTCAGAGTTCATACCCCCATTTAATCAAGTATTCAAATTTATCTTAGATCTGTTGATTTATATAATTGTTCAAAATTTTAAAAATACTTTTTAATTGTCATGAATCATGAAATTTTTCGTGATCTGTTTTTAAACAACCATGCATGTTTATTAAGACTTCAAATTATAATGAGGATATATTTTATAAAAGAAAATCTGTTATACTTTTAGACTAATTAGATTTCTGAAAATATTTTTAGTAAAAAATAATTTTCCATTAGGCATTATTCGCAATTTTCATACTTTCCAACTTCTTTTCTATCTTTATATACTACAATTTCATGACCTAAGATATTTGATATGGTTTGCTAAAAACTTCCATGTCCAATTTTAATGTATAATTTTGAAGTAGAAGGGTTATTTTAATATATAATGTATATTAAATGTTAAAAATATACGGTTTATGAAATACTTCAAGGAAAAATATTTATTTTCATTTAATACTAATAATTTTTCTTATACCATGCAATATTTTAAGTTGCTCTTACCATTGTATATAGGAGGATTTTAAATTGTTCAAATCGTCGCGGTAAAGGTGGTGTGAGTATAAGCGGTGTCCGCATCGCACAATCATCACAAATGAAAAATAATTCCTAACCCATGTCACCAATTTGTAAGCACGTAAAATGACCCCGTACGGTAAAACATTTCCAACAATCTTCCATAAATTCAGATTCTTGAGTACTCTTGCACTTGTAACATGGACTCAACCAACTACCAATTCTTGTTATAATTGCTCAATAAATAAAATAACTTTTTTTTTTGAAAAAACATTTAAAATCCCAGCCCTTTAATTTTTTTAGGAAAGCATATTTATGTACTCCGTATTATCATATTATTCTAATAAAACACAGTTGCTTTAAATAATCCAAATCCATGAATCAGCCCATATCCATTAAAAAGCCCAAAACAATAATTGGCCCTTCAATTAAACATTATATTCGCTGCCCATCTTATCCCTGGAGGCATTTCGGCCACAGACATACGCCGTTGCTTCTCTCCAATTCTAGATCTGCCCATCTTCTTTGCTTTGATAGGATCGGCGGTGGAGGTTTTCATTGCCGGTTTATCATGTCATTCTTAGCTGGTATCTTTATTTCTTTGTTCGTAATTTTGCTTTCCAGTCATACTCCCATTTATTAAGGGTTAGAATTTTTGTAAGATATGTTGACTTATTACAGTTTTAAAAATTTCAGAGGATATTTTTAAGTTTATGAATGTATAAAAATTTTAGATCTGTTTAATAACACAATGCATGTTAAATTTTATGTTTTTAGTGAATAGCTTCATAAATTAATCGAAAATCTTTTGAAAAGTCAAAAAATGTTTTTTCATGTCTTGTTCTAAATTATTTCCATCTTCAAGAGATTCTTTACACACACACACACACACATATGGTCAATAAATATGTAGGATCCAGTTTGCTTCCTTGTGCATTTTCAAAATTATGAAATTTGATTAATTTCATATCATCATACTTACATTGAATTTTAAAGAGATGTATTTAAATTAAAGCATATTTGATATCATTGTTTTTGAAAAGTTTTTTTTATTGTCATCTACTATTAAATTTGTAACATATACTAAATTTTTTAAACATGTATTGTTACCATAAAAAAAATTTTGTTACTTTTATAATACATGGTGGTGAAACTTTACATCTATTGTTACCATCTTCAACCTAATTTTACATATATTCTTTTATAATTTTCAAAAAACATAATTTTTAAATTTTGATATGTGTCAATGCAGTTTTTAATTTATTTTCTTAAGAATTTCAATTTTAAAATTTGATGTGTGTCAATACAGTTTTAATTTTATATATATAGACACACACACACAAATATATTCATATTTGAAAAATCTAAGCCTATATAAATTATACCTATCCAGATATTTTTAATTATAATACACAAATACATACATTTGTAAATCAAAACACCCTTTATTTAATTATAGAATTATTTCTTAATCTCCGTCTTAATTTACCTTGTGTTTATTTAATTATAGAATTATTTCTTAATCTCCTAACATGTTAATCCTATTTTTATTGTTTTTAGAGTAGTACTTGCAGTAATAGTTTTTTAAATTGTGGCCTGTTGATATAAATATTACTATATAAAAACGATATCTATGAAATTTTTTCAAACCTTAATTTGTGTACTGTTTTATATTACATATTAAAAAGCATATATTCTTTTTTATACATGTATCGATATGTTGATGGTTACTTTTCTTTTCACCATAAAGTCACGGATATGATCTCAATACCTGGAGAAGTCAAGCCGGATTAACAAAAGACTATCGGAAATGGGTGTATGAAACTTGGATGTAAGAGAACTTGGCTTTGTTTGTGGTGATTCTTGCACGGAGTATTAATGTATAAATAGCAAGTTCAATGAGACAACTCACTCTAATGCATTAATTGTCCAAGTCCTTTAAAGATTTCACAATCTCAACATTTAATGTTGAATGAGACATAAAGTAATTTTTACATTAAAAGTAGGA